AATAATAATTAATTACTCAAAAGGGCAAAAAAATCTAAAATTGGGGATTGAGAAAAAAAAAAAAAAGAATAATTGAAACTTACAAGGACGAGCAAAGTCAAGTGGGCCAGACAAGCTGGAATTCCTCCCTAACTCCATTCTTTAAACTTCAACAAATTTTCGATTTCTCCATTGATAATCTTCAAAAAAAAAAAAAATAAAAAAAAAAAAAAAAAAAAAAAATAATCATCAAAATTATATTACAACATTCAATTTCACATAATATGTAAATGAATAATAATTATAATTTCATTAAAAAAAAAAAAAAAAAAAAAAGATAAATACCTGGAATTAGAGAAGAGAGAAAAAGAAATGCAAAAAGAAAGTGGAGTTAGTAGATTGTAGAAAATTCAAAGAATCCCCAATTTTAATTTTTGTTTTAGGCCGAAAATTTCAAAAATTTGAAAAAATCAAAATACTAATTAAATAAAATTAGTTAGGAAAAATTGAAATGATAGCAAAAAAAAAAGTTAGGGTTTAAAAGAGGTATGAATTTGTGGCAGAGAGTTTCACGGTTTATAGTTTGGTAATGGAAATGGTGGTATTTGATATGTTGAGGGTGACACGCACTCAAAGTGGGTCCCATTTTGTAATTGCTTTCAATGACACGTTTGCTTTCCCGATTGCCTTACCGTTTTTATTCCCGCCTCTTTTCTCTTTCTTTTATTTATTTATTATGGTATTTCTAGATTTATGGAACTTTAATTTGGAGTAAGTGTAATAATAATAGAGGTGAGGTGGATGTCTATTAGTATTTATAATTGGGCACATTTTTGGGTGTTGGTTAACTTTTTTCCCGTTTATTGCTAGAAAATAATTTATTTATTTTAAAAAAAAAAACAATTTCAAGAAAATAATTTCGGATAAGATAAAATAGGAAAATACTAGTAAAAAAAAAAGGGAAAATAAGTTTAATATGAGTTATTTTCATCTTATAACTACAACAAGTTTTAAATAAAATCTAATAGGTTCTACCAATTTATTTTGTTTAACTTAAATATGATTTCAAGGCTAATTAGATGTACATTAACATAGAAAGCGGAGCTTATAAACTCTAATTAGTTATAGGTCAATTAAGTTTAATTGAGAACACACTTAAAAATAGTTCACAAAAGTTGTGGAAATCAAATGTTTAGAGTATGTTATATGTATCTTGGTTAAGACTAGTCAATTTAAAACGGCTAATAGTCAGGTAAAATCTTATTAGGATCCGATTGTTTTTACATCGGTTGTCAAATACATTTTAATGAAAACCCGAGTGATTTTAGTTGTATACTTCGTATATATTTTCAGGTTGGAATGAACCAATTTGGGTGAGATTTAGGTATGAGATACCAGTGGGCAGTAGATAATTGTAGATTAGGTTAGCATTATCATATCTAATTCAACTATTTTTCTCCTTTTTTACCGCTTCTTCCAACTTCTTACCCTTTCTATTTCAGCATGATGAGATTAATTTTCAAAAGCACTAATATATCATACAATTAAATTATATTTTACACTATATTATTGTAATGTACTCATACTTTAAAGGTGATTACAGATATTCTCCATATGCTCTAATTTAACTTCATTTCATTTATTAAGAAGTAGAAAATATAAGCTTAGGGAAAAAAAAAAAATAGTCAAACACATATGAATTGAAGAAAATAAAGCTTAAAATCCTTGAAAATAAAATAAGTTATTATTAAAACTTATTACTCTCTATATAGATTACATTGGAACTTATTTTATTTTAATTGTTAATTGAAGTTGAATTGTTTTTATAATTATTCTTTGATTAGTTTTTTTTTTTTTTAGAGAAAAAAAAAAAAAAAAAAAAAAAAACTTTAATTAGTTATATGAACTTATCTTATTTGATTTATTAACATTTACAAGTATATGTGTTATTAAACAATGCAATTTCAAAAAAAATTTGTTATTAGACAACATAATTTGTATAACTTGTGAACTTAATTTTTAAATCTGGTACGGATAGCAAGAAACACGATAGCAATTCACTAAAGGGCCGTTTGGTTCGCAGTAATAATCAAAGGGAATGGGATTCCATGGAAATTATTTGTTGTTTTTTTTTCCATTTCTATCATTCCCTTTCCCCTTTAATTACCCAAAAACCTTCTACTCCCATTCCCCCACCCCCCCTAGCCTTTCCCATTCCCTTTCCCCAACCACCCACCGTACCCACATCAGCCACCCTCACCCAATTCTCGCCGGAACGTCGTCGCCCCTCACCGGAATGTTGCCGCCATCCCCCGACCCTCGCCGGAACCTCGCCGCCCCTCCTCTCACCCGAAAATCATTCCCTCACCCACGCATAACCCTCCCCCTCCACTTAGATCCGTCGGTAGCACCTCGCCGACCCCCGCCGATGATCGCATCACCTTCGTTGGGGTCCACAATGGCAGAGATCGGAACCTTCTAGGAGGTTCCGATCATGGGTTGGAGGTTCAGTGTTTGGTTGATTTAGCCACAGAAAATGGGTTTGGGAGGTCTTCGATGGAAGATATGGCCGAAATTGTTCTGGGTTTTTCTGGAATTGCTAAGTCCAGAGAGTTGGGAATGAGTGATTGGGATCAATTTTGGTTGTCTAATGAACAGGTTCAGTATGCTTGTGTGGATGCTTATGTTTCGTTTCTTCTTGCCGATGCTCTTGGCTATGGTTATGATGATGATGATGATGATGATATGATGATGATGATGATGATGATGGGTATGATTACTATTATTGTTATGATGATGATGATGATGATGGTTATTATTATGATGATGAGTATTTGGACTATGATGATTTCTGCAATCCATTGAATTATAATAGGGATGGAGAGTATGATCCAGATAATTGCAACCCGTTCAATTTTTATCTGTCAGATTTTGAAGATGAAGATTAATTCTGAATTTAGCTAACTTATACTAGTATGATATGATTATTAAGAACATTTTGATAGTTGGCAAATAATGAAGGAAGTGGTGTTGTGGTGGTGCTTGGGAATGAATGATTCCTTAGGTTTTTTTTTAACAAACATTATGTTAAATTGTGAGGGTTTCATTCTATTTCTTTCATTCTCTTTCTACATTTCATTATGATTCCCCTGTGCGAACCAAACGACCCCTAAATATTTTAACCCTCTTTATATATATATATATATATATATATATATATATATATATATTTTTTTTTTTTTCCTTTTTTTAATGGTAGACATATACTTTTATATTTAACGCTTAAAATCTCTACAAAAGTAAAAAATTATGCTAACTCTTAGAATCTCTAATGCTACCTAATCGTCAAAGTGTCGTGTAATCTTTCAACTATTTCGCATAATTTTGTTTTCCTCATTGACAAAAATGTCAAAAATTGTTAGAAAACTTGAAGCAACAAAATATAGCAAAATACTAGCAAAAATGTATTTTCTATATTTCTTAGACAGAATTAAAGGAACACATGGGGCCCATTTTAGTGACTTAAAGTACAATACGTATATTTAATGACAATTGGTTACAAAATGACCATTTATCCATTTTGCCACTAGAAATCCAACACCTACTACCATTTTTGATATTTTCATTAACATGACTTCAAAGGAGATTATAGAATTGATTTGGCACCATGAACTTTTTAAAAAGAAACTAATTAATATCATATGTTGTTAATTAGTCATTTAACTATCATTTATACTGAAATTATTTGTCAAAAAAACTAAAGGAACAATGACTTTTCTTCTACTATTGAAGAAAGGGTCCATCAAAATATAAGAAAGATCAATGTGTGGATGCTTTAGAAAGATTCGAAGATTTAGCTATCTAAATGTACGGATTTTCTTGTTCTTTTTATGATGTCCTACTCAACTTCCTCCTGTCATGCATTGGCAAGAACTTAGTCAGTCAACGAACTCGACCGACAGTGTAAACAATCATAAATCTCCATTATTGTATATTCTACTAAATAATACTTTGTGTAGTGGTAAAAATTGTATCTTACAACCTTAAAATCAATCTCCACTAGAGACACTTTTAAAGTATAGATTTTATTATCCCCGACCCTCCCAAGAGGTCTTGCACATTAAACCAGGTCAGTTGCCTTGAACAAGGTTCCAATCTGGTAACACGTCTTACCTAAAACATACAACACCATGGATGCTTGTACAAGTGATTCTAGAAGAAGAGAAGGATACGGAAAATATCTCTCTTATCTTGGACAAAATCCTCCCACCTAAAAGATCAGCAAGAAGATTATACTAAGTTCCTTTCTTAAGATTATGGGCTTACTATTATTAAACATAATTAACATTAGAACCTTCCAAGTAGTACCAACTCCCAAGCAATACTATGTACTCTATGTGTGTATGACAGCAATCCAAACAAAAAGAAATCCAATTACACATCATTTTAAGTTTAAGACAGTCTGAAAGCATATATTTCCAGTTTACCAACGGAGTGTCATATCCATAGCCTATGCAACATTCAACATTGCACAGCGATTCATGTTGTTCGTGTTTGAATTACAGCCTAAAAGTGAAGGACATACCAATACAACCTTTAGCCTGAAGCATACTCAGAGTAACAGTAAGTTCCATTATCATGGGAGTAAAGGTTGTTCATCTATAGCTACTATTCACAAATATGATTACAGGATTTATTAACACAGAGAACACTAAAAAGGGCATTTCGATCCGCTTAAGGAACCAGCATAATCTTCAGCTTCATAAAATTATATACAATGTACATTATTTGAATTCTGCAAATCTGCATGAACTAATACCAAACAAGTTATTAAAGGAATTGACACAAAAGAAATTGCAGTTTTACATTTCTACCAAAGGAATTGACTTAGAAAATTAGTACCGATTAGCTGTTGTAAAAAGAGGTATTCATTTACCTGTCATGCCCAGTTTCTCTTAGCCCGAAGTTGGGTGAGTTTGTCCCTCCATTGAGCTGCCAGAACAGCACAACCATGAGAGAACCAAAAAAAATAATTAGAGGGCTTTAAAGGTATTCATTTCAGAAGATGAAATGTATCAAGCAGGGTAAGCTTATTAATATAACAAAGAGAAGCCTATGCTAAATTTCTTCAAGTATAAAAGCTAGTCTCAGATGAGACTGAGACATGCTGTATGTCAACCCGCAACAACATAATAAATCACTTTACAAGTGCTCCGTATATAGGAGTCAAATTAAGTTTTTGCTCATGAAAGTTGGTGAAAGCAAAGTCAATTTAAGAGCTTAGGCATGTAAAAATTAGAGTTCTGAGATCTTGTAGCACCAACTCACCAAGGTATCAACAATCAACACATATGACATGTAAACACATTTAGTGTGTTCTAAGGCTGTGAATTTTGTTAAAAAGCTCCCTGTACATTCTTCTTATGTTACACACTTACACAGCACAGGGTTAGCTTCCACCTAAATTTATGTGCAGTTGAAAATGTGGAGCTAGTTACAAACAGATGTACTAACAGAGGAACTCTGATACACAAATAGATGGGATAAAAGGCAATCATCATACCTGCTTCTTGATAACGCTCCTCACAAGCAGCATTAAGCATGTTGCGCAGCAGGTTAAATTCTGTTGTTTCTATACATGGCTGACCATTAGGCCTGGATCAGGGCCCAGAAAAATTAATACACAGTTTGTGCTCCACAGAATAAATCAAAGTATAAAAAACCATATCCCACACTGATTGATACATCATTACATACAAATTACGAAGTATGCATCAAAAAAGCCAAGAAATTTAGTAGTGCTCTTCTACTGTAATGCCACAAACCTCATGGTAGAGCACATTTTGCAGAACAAACATGTGCTTGCTTAAGTGAACCTCAAAGCATAAAATAGATTTTTGAAAAAAAAAAATGTTTTCTTGTAGAACCTTGATATTCTCTATTATTCCAATTTCATTCATTCGGCAATTTTTCTTGATAAATTGCCCAAAATAAATTAAAAAATAAACACTACATAGTAGAAGAAGTATATTTCACAAACATAAGTTTACTCTTTCATCTCATCTTAAGTAGGTATGAGATACGATGATATAACGTCCTCCAATCCACCTCAAACCATAATAATATGACTAATTTAAGGGAATTTGGGTCTTTGTTATTAGTTTAAGGAACATGGCTCCCCCCTAAAAAACTTTTTTCTATTCACCCAAAATAAATAAATAAAAATTTTAAAAAAAAAAAATATCAGTCGACATAAGTTTAATTGGTAGGATATCAGTTTTGATCAATATGAGGGTTTTTTTAGTTAAATCAGTTTTAATTGGTACAATTCAGCTTAAATCATTAATTTCATACCAAAAAAAAAAAAAAAAAAAAAAAAAAAAACAGTTCAAACAGCAAAATTCAGTAGAAATAATTTAAGTTCGGGAAAAATAAGGTGAAAGAGAAGTAGGGTCTAAGAGACAGCCAGGTGTTATTACTTTGATGGATTGTGTCTAAGCTGTTCAGCTATGTTACTCAGACTCTTCATTTACCTCAGGTACCCGTGTCGGACCTTCGACACTCGGACATGGGTATGACACTTGGACACTTTATTTTAGTTTCAAAATCATAGATTTTTTTTCACAAAATAGCCGAGTCAGACACTTGGACACGTATCCGTGTTGGACACGGGTACCCGAGTCCGACTAACATAGCTGTTAAGCTCATTGCAACAACTTCAAGAGTAGATGGACAAAAGTAAAATTTGTGCATGCAATGAAACTGGGACAATACAGTGTTTGTTTCCATAATATAACCAGTTATTAAGCTCAATGAACTCTAGTCCATAGCCAAAGAGAAGGGCCCTGAACCTGAGCCAAAATGATACGGAAAATAACCTACCGATCCAATTCCGTGAATGACATGACATCTGATGCAAGGCCCACATTTATCGTCTTTGGAGATTCAACTATCTTCATACCATCACTTTGAGCCAGGTTCCTGTTTACTTGTATAGGCACCTGTGTAGATACAGATAAGCTTCAGAGTAAAGCTTAAAAGCTAATTAGCTTATAAAGGTTTGACACACTATGTGATATGTATGTTTTAATCGGATTTGCCTGTACATAACACTACATATTCTTGCTCAAAGAGATCTTTGTAGTGAAAAGTCAATAACTTTACATTAGTTGACTGACTTCTTTTAATATAATATAAATTTCTTCCTTCTCAACAGAAAGCATGTTGTAGTAGATGATGTGTTAGAAGCGGTAGGTCAACTTTCTAGTGTTGATATATAGTAAGAGCTCAATACTACAGAATATTATACTCCATATTACTTAGCTCATTTTATAAAATGGTCAAACCAACAGTTGGACCGTTGGGGAAGCATATACATCAACATCAACGTTGAGTAAATCCATTATAGCGTACGAGGAAACCAAATTAAAAATCAGGGTATCAGATCATAGGTGCATCAGACTTTTTTCCTTGCCAGAAACAATGCAAACAATATTGTGTGTGTTGCTTAACAGAAACTATTTACAGAAGGTCCAATAATGTGAAGACAAGTTGAGATATCAATACAATACATCATAGCATAAAAGATAGGCATAACACTGATATCAGTAAGCTAAAATTATATAGATCCGAAATCTGAAGTTCTGAACTGATATACCAAGGATATCAGGCAACTAGCACTGAACCTAAGCAAAAAGTAACAAAAGAATCCAGTAGTTGGCAAGATTCCAAAATCAGAATCTTTCAAATAGTGCTCAGAAGGCAGTACAAAAGGGTAATGTTACTTTTTTTTCCATGGCTAAACAAAAAGATAGCATCCCAAAGGCTCCAGAAGAGTGACTAAATTGGAAGAAAATGTATGTACCTTGCATCTTACAGCAATATTAATTGCATCTGAAGGTCGAAGGTCAAAACTGATACATTCATCTTCATTATCAACCTATATCAATGACTTTCCACGATTAATTCATTATTCTTCACTAGAAAGAGTAAACTATAAATGTAAACATAATCATATACATGCCTTTGTGAGATATAACTGAGCAAAATATGCTTCATGGACTCTCTTAGTTACACGGACAAGTTTGACCTGCAAAAATGCATCTAAGAAATATGCTTTGTGGGGTTTAAAAGATAGAATTTCACTTTCCACCAAATAACTAAACGGGGAGAAGATATTTATATAACCCACTTACTACATATCCCATCTTCTCAATCATTTCCTTCATAATCTGATACATTGTTGGCCTAGCCTGCACATTTCATCAGAACATTTGTGATTAAACTAAAATAACCATAACTGCTGTAGCTGATTAACTTCACAACAAAACTGAGTTGCATTGAAGAATAGACACATACAATATGTACATTACGGATAGCAGCCATGAGCAACACACTAGGCATCTCCACTGCAAGAACACATAATTTGGACAGCTATCAAATTGATTTAACAGAATTTAAAGAATGCATAGATCTGTTAGCAAAGAGGTCTATGTACATACAAACAATTATTGGTAGAAGAAGACCCGTTCCATCTTCCATTTTAAGCACAATGGCCGGATGAGGTGCATAATCTGGAAGGTGGCCACCTTGAGGGCTGTTATGGACACATTTTAAGAACCTGCCATCTCTCATCTTAATTGTGAAACCATCTGAACCACTTTTCACCTCAACTACAATAAAGCAATACAAAAATACTGATTAATAGTATGCTCAAAATAATACGTGAAGAAATCTCAATCTAGAAACAGGCAACACATTATTCACCAAAGCATCAATAAGGAAGGCATGCAGAATTGACTTTTTTATATACTGTATTTACAGCTTCAAGTGCATCTGGAATACAACAAAGGTGAAAAATTAGATATGACAAGAGAATGCAAGTTAGCTCTCCATTTACATAATTTACTGATATTCTAAGAAAATATGTTTATAACCCTTCTCCCACAATAATCCAACGGTCCAATGAATTGATAATGGTTACAAAAGAGACAGAAAGTGAGAGACTACTGATTAATACTCAGTCGTAAGAAAACAAGCTTGTGCATAGAGCTATTAGCTGCACATTAAAAGACATTCAGCACAATGATAGGCTCATACTATCCTTTGGCACTTTTGAAAGTTAAAAAGCAAGATACATTGTAGTACCTATAGACGAAAACCAGACACAAATTAGCAAGCAAGAATACCAAAGTATAAGATGAATTAATAAAGTTTATATACCCCACTTATGGGATTAAGGCTTTGATTGATTGATTTAATGAATTTTATATAAGACCATTACTATGCCAACAATCAATCTCGTGAAATGGTAATGAGAGTACATCCTACCAGCTTCAATTACACTGGAGTTGACATAATCCTCATCATTTTCCTTTTCTGCTCTGTTACCACTTCCATTGGAAGACGAACTAAAAGTGCAATGAACTGTACCAAACCTTCGGATATTAATTGGGCGCGTAAGCATGCTCGCATTAGTAGATCGTTGACGTACACTTTTATAACCCCAAAATGCACTTCTGAACATGGCATCCTTCATCAAAGAGACACTAATTGGTGCTTGGTAAACACCGACCTGCTTAGCACGAATTGTAGGGCAAACGACTGGTCCGTGTAATGACCCCATCTCCTACTTCCAAGTCCTGATATCAACAACCGTCCCAACAATTTTACTACATGAACAAGTTTATTATAACTTACAAGTAACCAAAAAGTATTCATGACTAAACCAGTAAACTATCATCAGAAATTTCGCCAACAATTAACCATTTCCTACTCAACTTAAGCTAGCAACTAGCAAGATAAGACATAGCCGAATCTTGATAACTACTTCATAAAACACAAAATAGATTTCCCACTTAGTACTATTTCAAAGCTTTCCAGAAAAAAAAAAATGTTCCTTCATTTTACTATACTACTACAACAACTAAGTTTTCACACTTTTTATAGTGATACCCTTCTGGACCACAAGTCTGATACACAATCTTTTACAGAAAAACAGCCAACAAAACAGTGAATACTCATCACTTATAACCCACAAAGGCAACAACATACTTCATGCAATAAGCAATATTATTCAATCAATTACAACTCCCATGTGAATTAAAAGTCTCGGGGATGATACCCAAGACCTAGGATCAAATCCATCTACATCACTGACTTTTATGGCTCCCTACAAACCAAAGGTCCAAAGTAGAAACATAGTAACAAGAGAAGCTTAATCATCTATATCCCATCAAGCATAATTGATAATAGTGCAAATTTTGGACATAAAAAACTTCAACTTTCTATTTATTTCCTAAATATTTTCTAATATTCACTTATTTTTAACCTGTTGTTGCAAATTAGTCAATTAAATCAAATTACAAAATATGGATAAATTGTTCAGATTCCAGCATCAAACCTGTTAAAAAAGAGAAGCTTTGAAGGAATCTGGGAATTTTATGACGATCAAAGAGCGTGAGATTCTTCTATTTAAGACCTCAACGATCAATTTCCTGTAAAAAAAACAATAACCCAATTTCGAAAAATTCTAAAATTGAAAAGGGTGTTAGATCATACTGTAGTCAGTGGTAAGAAATTGGGAAATTTTGATGGGACCATGAGAACAAAATTAAGGCTATTATTTGAAGAGTGAAATTAAAATCGAAAAAAAAAATGGAATCAAAGTGGAGAAAGGTGGGTTTTTTTAAGAATGGACCGACGAAAATTAATCAAGCAAAGTAGATAAAATTGGATAAGAGATTCCTCGGCCCCCTTTTTTTTATTTTTTTTTTCTTGGGAAGATATTTTTATATTTCCTTATATAGAGGACACAAATGAAGAATTATCTGTTTTTCAAGTTTAATTTGCTCAATGACACTTTGCACCCTCAATAATTGTTGACAATAATGGAATGGTAATTGTGTTGACTTGTAAATAGACGAACAAAAAAAATCGTGAAGGTTGAGGTCTAGTTGGGACTAATTTTATCCGACAGAAATATGAGTTGTGTTGACTTATAGGTTTAGATGATCTAGCTCTACAAAACTTGTTCCAAGAGATCTATAATGAGAATGACTCGTTGTAATGTTATTGAAGAAATTACACTTTTAAAAAAGGAAAATAATTATTTGAGTATAAATGGTTTTATTATTCTTTAAATCTTCTACTTTTTGTTAAAAAAAAAAAAAAAAATCTACTCTATCCATAATTTTATTTGATGGTTGGCCGAAGTGCCGAACAAATTACAATATCATTTTTTTTTTAGGAAAAATTACAATATCATCTTATGTTGTCTGGTTGAAAATTAGAAAAAAAAAAAGTTTTTTTTTTCCTCTCAAAAGCTTCATGCTCTAAGAAATGAAACATATTGCTTGGTTGACAATAATGATAGGTAAGCTTTTAATACGATCAGAAAATTTCAATTAAATAGAAGACACTCCTTCAATTGTAATTTATAGGATTTTGCAAGAAATAAAATCTCGTACCGTATCTTTTTCAATCAAACAACTCTATAAAAATAAACCACCTTATTAGTTCTTATACTCTATATTTAGGCTGACCAAACAAGCACTAGATTTTAGATGATAATGATAATTAACAAATAGCAAACATAGTTTTTTTAATATCAAAGCGAGACACTTATCAGTTGCATAATGTTCTTCAAAAAAATATGACCAACTCAATATTAGAATTAGGGGTGGCAATTCGGGTCAGCAGGTCGGGTTCGGGTCAGATTACGGGTTATGCTTAGAAACTATAAAAAATTGTGCAAAACTTAATATTATTACGAAAATATGAAATTTGGGTTAATTCGGGTTGTTTGGGTCGGGTTCGGATTTTTCTCAGTAACTTCGGATCGGGTTCGAATCGGGTTATCGAGTCGGGTTAGGGATTACCATCTCTAATTAGAATGAGATAGCATTTAAAACTACAAATAATGTTCTCAACATATTAAATAAAAAAAGTTTTAATCTATAAACAAAAATTTAGACCAAAGCTTCGTTTCTTTAATGAGTTGAGAACAGTCATTAGTATGTTTGTTTACGCCATCTCAAAAATATTTATAAATCGTGATGTATGGATTTTGTCTAAGTGATCATTTGCAAGGGTAAATAGGTCATTTATGAAATACAAGTTGGTATAATAATTAATGAGTTTGGATAAACGTAAGCAGAGGAAGACAGAAATGGGCCCAGTTTCCGGCGGTGAGAGGAAGAGAGGATAATCAGCATACAACAGATTACGTCTTGCCACGTCTACTATTCTTTCAGGCTACTTGGATTCCCCGCTTTGGAGGATTTGGGTTCATTTTTCGGTTGTGCTAATATATCTCTATCTCGAGAGTTATTATGTACATTCAGATGTACCGTACATTCGGAGTTATTTGCTCATTCAATCAACAAATGGGTAAAATATTATTTGTTCATGTAATTAACCCCGGATATACGATATACCCGAATGTATATATAACAAATTTTACCTTTACACAACCTACTCAAAATGAGCTTATCTTTACGTATTTTAGGAACGAGCAAATTTTTGCCCCTTTTTTCTCGAAACAATCCTTTACCAATTGTACCCTTTTTCTTATAATTTTTTTTTTTTTTTTGAAAAAGGAAATGGGTCAATTTTGTTCATGGGTGGAGGTGGTGGTGATCATGGACTCATGGTTGTTTCCATGGGGAAGGGTGGTGAGGTGGGAGGAGATAGATTAAGAAAAAAAAAAAGGTGAAAAAAGAATTTAACTAGTTAAACATGTACTTTTTTTTTTTAGTTTAACTTTTGCAGTATTCACATGTCATGTTTGATTTAATTTTTTTGCTATTATAAAATAAATAGATGTTATTATATAATATATCATTAGATTCGTGTTTGCTAATTAGGGTTTCAATTTAACAATCAAATTGTTCTCTCTAAAAACCTAGGCACCTAATCTATTTATAATCCTATTATAATTAGACTAGGTTAAGAAGCCCATAAACCCTCCAAACCAACTTATATGGCCGGCCACCTAGGGAATGGGGCCCATCGTGGGCCTCGTCCTCTAATGCTTGATCTAGGCCCTTTGTGTGACCTCATAGGATCCGTCTAATTGGGCTTTGGCTAATTTTACTGACCTAAAGATCGTTAGTACCTCTAGCTATGATATAACGACGACCCAAATGAACGAACTTAATTATCTCTATAATTTGATCCATTTATATATCTAGTAATTGCACTTGAAGAAGACATAAATCCTTCATAACTACATACAAGATATTTTCATTTCCTTCTCTTTTCTCTTTCCTCCTCTTCCTCTCTTTCTTTCTCATTAACAACATACAAAATTTGTGGTTGATATGTTTTCATTAACAACAACAAATTCACATTTCCTTCTCTCTCCTCTTTCCCCCTCTTCCTCTCAAAATAGAGAATCATTTTTATTTCCATTACAAAATTTTTTTCAAAAAGTTCTTTAAAATAAAATCCAGTTATAATGTACTTAATTTAGTTAAAAAAATAAAGAATCAATTTTATTTCATTTCCATAACAAACTCGTTTCAAAAAGTTTTTAAAATAAGATCCATTTATAATGTATATAATTTAATTAAAAAAAAATAGAGAATCAGTAAAAAATAAGTTTTAATCAGTAAAAATAATTTTGGTTTGGTAAAAATACTTTCAGTTAAGTAAAAATAATTTAAGTTCAATAACAATAATTTTAAGTCAATAATAACATAGATATCTATTTACAAACAAAACTACAAAAAGTACATTATTCTATAAATAAGCGATAGGATATCGTATGTCTAAGTATCATGTATTATTAAAAGGGATTACATGACCGTATTTATAACATTCAAGCCAAAAAGTTTATCCTAATAAAAAATTTATGAACAATCCGGGCATCACCCGAGCACAAAACTAGTCACTAATAAATAAAACCGGTCTCGTAGCTAGGCCAAGAAATAGCGACACTTGGCATTCCAGTTTTTCGCTAAGTGTTGCGCCACTTAGGAGATAAATAGGTAGTATTGTGACACATGTTATGTTAAGTAAGCGATTTTTGGATAGATTTTTTAAGATAAATTTGTTGTATAGAGTTTTATTATCGATAGAATTCTAATATTCCATACTTCCTCCGTTCTTTTAATATTGCACCATAAGGGTTGGGCACGAATTTTTTGGTAGTGGAAAAAAAGAAGAGAGAGAAAAGTTAAAAGTACAAATTTGCCCATGTGATTGTAAACATAAGTAAAGAATCAAGTGTTAAAAGGTAAGGGTATATAGGGTATTTGTATTGTGAACACAAATATTTGCTTTCCTAAAATGGATATGGTGCAATATTTGTGAAACTTTCTTAAAAGGCAAGTGGTGCAATATTTTAAAAACGGAGGAAGTATATATAAAATTAATTATAAATTTTAATAAATATATCCTATAACTCAATTCTATTTCCATCATCAAATTCGTTTTAAAAAGTTCTTTAAAATAAGATCCATCATATAACTAATATATAAAGCTAAACTTTTAGCCAGGCTACGAGACAACGACACTTGGCGTTTCAACTTTTCGCTAAGTTTCGGGCCACATAGGCAACAATTAAATATTATTATGACACGTAGGATTTATCATATAACTAATATATAAAGCTAAACTTTTAGCCAAGCTACGAGACAGCGACACTTGGCGTTTTAATTTTTTGCCAAGTGTCGCGCCATGTATGCAACAATTAAATATTATTATGACACGTAGGATTTATTTGGATATATTTTTTATGAATAAAAAAATTGTATTTTTTTATTAGGATAAAAACTTGGACAGATTTTGTAGGATAAAAAAGTTAGTTTAGAGTTTTATTTTTTTAATAAAATTTGGATAGTTTTATAGGATAAAATTGTTAGTTTAGAGTTTTATTTCCGATAAAATACCAATATTTCACAGATACTAAATAAATTATAAATTTAGCCAGACCACGAGACAGCGACACTTGGCATTTTAACTTTTCACCAAATGTCGCGCCACGTAGACAACAATCAAATAATTTATCATATAAATTTATTTTTATATCATAATTTTTTTTCGGAGCGAAGGAAGTAGTTCAAAACGTACATTAGTCATTTATAATATATTATAATCGATTGAAATAAAATACTTCACAATCTAATATGATTTTATTATTGTATGTAGACCTGTCAATCGGGTCGAGTCACGGGTCATTTTGGATTGAGTCACTTTAGGTCACAGGTCAAGAAATGTTCAACGCTAGCCTAAAGTTTCGATCGGGTCACCCAACGGGCTTAGAACAATTTTTTTGGGATAACTTTTAGAAATTCCTAATATTTCAAGCTAACTTTGCTTTTTTTTTTTTTTTTTTTTTTTTTTTTTTATTGTTTGATCCAATGGTTATAAAGTGTTCTCACATAAAGGATGTGTTCTCACATGATCCTATATATATATATATATATATATATATATATATATATATATATATATATATATATATATATATATATATATATATATAATATATATATATATATATATATATATATATATATATATAATTTTTTAAATCGTCCATTTTCACCAATCAATATTATTATTAGTCATTACATGCCTACTAGATAATTTAAATCGTCACAAAGCACATCAATTCCTAACTAATTTATACCAATGATATATTTTAAAACTTGGTACATAAATAAAAAGTCTGTTTTAGAATTCAACAAACAACCCGGGCATCGCACGGGGCACCAAACTAGTTATTATATACTTCATCCGTTCTTTTTTACTTGACTCGTTTTGACTTTTACACTATTCACCATCCCTCCTTTGA